CACACACACACACACACACACACACACACACACACACACACACACACTCACACACTTTAAAGATGGCTTTTCAAACACAATGGCAGGCCATTTGAGTATCACTGTCTTTGCGACAGCCTGAGAAATAAAATGTTTTAATGCTTCTCTGGGCTCAATTACAAAGCACAACGTGATTAAATAAACTATTTGAAATTTCAGTGAACTGTAAAACCACTGCTGTTTTGTTCTATCCTCTAAATCTTCACTTCTTGGTCTCTGAGAGCATAATGAATGTTTGGAGCTAAGAGTCCATTCAACCTTGAGGGAGAACTCTAAAACTTCACCTATTTTTTATTTTCTTATTTAATAAAATGACTAAACACAGTTGAGCAGTTTTTGCTGATTTTTTAAACAAACATTAAAAAAAAACATTTAAAAAAGAAAAAGTAAATATTTTCATTTCACACATGAAGGAGCAGAAAACGCTGCTAGAATAACAACAGGCAGCTGTAATAAAATTATTTGAACAACACTGTATGTAGACGGTGCCTCTCTTTACAACGTTTAGATAAATCAAAAACAGCAGAAGGGAAGACATCAGCAGCAGTTCTTTAAGAGTCACCTGGATGTTGGAGCTCCTCACCTTATCTTCAAGACTGAGCCCAGCCATCCTGCAGAGTAAACTCACTGCAGCTGCTTGTATCTGAGATGTTATCCTTTAGGTCATGACCAATATATCAGGACTATATGTGAGGGTTAGAATATAGATAGCCAATAAATCATGAGCTTCACCTTTTGGCTCTTTTGTCACCACGGCAGACTGGAGTAACACCCACATAACTGTGAACAAGGCCCCAATTAATCAGTTTATATCCCACACCATTCTACTCCACTTGCGAACAAGACAATGAGGTACAGTGCATCCAGAAAGTATTCACAGCACTTCACTTACAGCCTTATTCCAATATGGAAATTAAAATATATTCTCAAAATTCTACGCACAATAATGACAACATGGGAAAAAAAAGTCTGCAAATTTATTAAAAACGAAAAACCAAGAAATCACATGTGCCTAAGTTTTCACAACCTTTGCCAGAAGCTCTAAATTGAGCCACTTGTTATCCTTGAGATATTTCTACAGCCTAACTGGAGTCTACCTGCGTCAAACTCAGTAGATTGGACATGATTTAGAAAGACACATACATGTCTATATAAGGTCCCACGGTTGAAAGTTCACGACAGAACACAAAACAAGCATGAAGTCAAAGGATTTGTCTGTAGACCTCTAAGACAGGACTGTCTTCAGGCACAAATCTGGGTAAGTATACAGAAAATATTCTGCTGTATTGAAGTTTCCATGGAGTACAGTGATCTCCATCATCCATGGATGGAAGAAGTTCAGAACCGCCAGGACTCTTCCTATAGCTGGCCAGATGTCTAAACTGAGTGATCGGTGGAGAAGGGTCAGGAAACCCGATGATCACTCTGTCAGAGCTCCAGTGTTCCTCTCTGGAGGGAGGAAAACCTTCCAGAAGTTCAACCATCTGTAGCAATTCACCGATCAGGTCTGTATGGTAGAGTGGCCAGAAGGACAGAAGCCATGGAAAAGGCACATGGCAACGTGCCTAGATGACTCTCAAACCATGAGAGACAACATTCTTTGGTCTGTTGATGCAAAGATGGAACTCTGGTATTCATGTTTGGAGGAAACCAGACACCACTCATCACCAGACCAATACCACCCCATTGGCAGCATGACAGCTCAGTGGTTAGCACTGTTGCCTCACAGCAAGAATATCCTGGATTCAATCCCCGGTTGGACCTGGGGCCTTTCTGTGAGGAGTTTTCATGTTCTTCTCGTGCTTGACTGCGTTTTCTCCGGGTACTCCGGTTTCCTCCCACAGATCAAAAACATGCATGTTGGTCTGCCTTCAGGCCCAGGCCTCCATTGCAAAAGAAATATGTGATCGCAATGTGATTTGCCTGGTTAAATAAAGGTTCATAATAATAATCCCTACAGTGAAGCATGGTGGTGACAGCATCTTGCTATGAGGATGTTTTTTCAGCAGCAGGAACTGGCAGACTAGTGTTAAGATATTTTTAATCTAGACTGGTCTTATGGTTTTGATCTGCTCAGAGATGGGATTATAATGAAATTATGACCCGGTTCTGACTGGGTTAAACTGGGCCAGCAGCTCTCGAGAGTGTCTCCCTGGGATTTCAATATCAGTCAAATAGTTTAATCTGCTTGCCACATCACATAGAAAGGCTTTGAAGCACCATCTCATATTTCCTAACACGTCAGTCCACATAAGATCACACTTAGCCACGCCCCCTCATACACCGATAAGCTGAGCTCCCCTTCTGCAAAAGGAGGAGTCATAGGACCCCATAAATTAGTAATGACACGGGACTTTGAGACTCTTCCGGGTCTGTGAATGCGTCACAGTGCGGAGAGTCCAGCGTTGTAAAACTGTAATCTTTTCCTGCCTTTTTTAATATAATTGATAAAACTTAATTGACGTCTCATTGATTTATTGATCGTATGAGTTGCCACTTCTGAGGGAGGTTCGAGCCGGGGGTAAAGATGTGGGCTGGAGTGGGTTTCCGGATCCGGTGGTCCGCAGCCAGCTCCCGTCTTTAACACTAGTCAGGATAGAGGAAAATTTGAATGCAGCAATCTGCAGAGACATCCTGAACAAAAACCTGCTCCAGAGAGCTCTTGACCTCAGACTGGGGCAACGGTTCATTTTTCATCAGGACAACGACCCAAAGCACATGGCCAAGATCTCAAAGGAGGGGCTTCAAGACCACTCTGTGAAGGTCCTGGAGTGGCCCAACCAGAGCCCAGACTTGAAACAGGTTGCAAACCTCTGGAGATCTGAAAATGGCTGTGCACAGACATCACCCATCCAACCGGAAGGAGCTTGGGAGGTGCTACAAAGAGGAATGGGTGAAAGTGCTGTAACATAACTAAATGTGGGAAAAGTGAAGCACTGTGAAAACATTCCAGATGAACTGTACTTAAAACTCCTCCACCTGAGGCAGCAGTGAATTAAATGAGTTCTGTGTCTTTGTCATTCTTTGTTCTGATACCTTTGTGAAAATAGGAATAGTTTCCAAGTTATATTTAAGCAGAAACATAATAAAAGTTTACAGAGACTGTGATTATATATCACAGATCCCAGTTAAAATGATGTTCATATTACCTATTTTATTTCACAGCAAATGTATTAGATTGAATTGTTTTTCTAAAAATGCTCAAAATATAATGCCCCATTGTGTTTCTGATAAAAAAAAAAAATTCTTCATGTAATCAACCTTAAATAAAAAAAAACATTAAAAACAAATACAGTGTGACACAATACACAGTTGTACAGGAAAATGTTACTAAAATAAGCAGCAAAACTAAATAAGAAGATGGTTAGATGACAAATATATCACTTCTTAAGGAAAACAATTCCCTTCCAAGACAACCAACAGAGATTTTAAAATAGAAGATGAAGCTATTGTTAGTGCCATTAGTTGGTTGGTTGCAATGCATAGCTCACATTTTAGTGAATTCATCAGACTCGTATTAAACTAACTGTTTTTATTTTTTAATAAACACAGATTGTTATTTAAGTTATAGAAATAATATACATAAACACAGTGAAATGTTGCATGCTTTGGGCAAAAGTCTGGCCAGACTCCAGAAATCCTGTTGCTTTTTAAGGGTCTGTCTTATGATTATTGTGTAATTCTCTCCCCCTAAACTTCAGAAAATGCTAGACGTAAAAACATAAAACTAGTTAACACAACTCAGAGGCAAAGACTTGAGGCGCTGTTTTTTTTTTTTTTAATATAACTAGCACCAAATAAAGTCTTTATAACCTCAAAAACATCTCACCCTATAGTCAAAATTGTGTCAAGTGTAAAAAAACAATGTATAAAATTAAAGGGCTCTCCAGCTGTAGAACTAAAAACATGGTAGATACCTTCGTATATGGATGGTGCGTTCAACATTTGCTTGTAGTATGAGTAGTACAGTCCACACTCCGTTCGGAAGGAGATCTCGCGCTCCACTTCCTAAAAGAAAAGTGGGGACTTTGGTTATATAAACCATACACCTCAGTTTGTTCAATATGGAAAACAGATATGCTGGCAATACATGACAGAACCAAAAAGGACAAAGGCAAAGTACTTAACATGCTACAGAACAGAAACAATAAGAAGGGCTTGATGTGTAGACCCATGAGACCACCTGCTTGCTCTGTATTACTTTTCCACTGCAGTGTAACAGACAGTCTTGTGAACAACTCGCTGATCTTTGTTTGAAAACTGTCTTTGCAGCTTTATGGACCGTCCGTCAATAAACCGTTAAAATTTTTCAAAAATCCAATGCTTATTACAAAACTAATTATATTTCTACACACATTTCTAAATATTACAACAGTAGAGATTCTGCATTTTATTTTATGTTATCAATATTCACTTTGGCTCTAACAGAAAGAGCTTCGAATGAGTGCAAGTCTGATAAAACAGCAGATGGAGTAAGTCACATAACTGGCTAATGGATAAAACAGACATGGAGATTTGGAATTTGAATTATAAAGACCAAAAAAAGCCAAAAATCCACTATGGAAGAAATTTTTACATCACTACACAGGAAACAACTTTACTTAAATCTACAATTTGACAAAAACAAGAAGCTCAACAAAAAGTTGAAGTTAAGTAAATTGCAAGATTCTACCACAGATTAATTGGAGAAGAAAAGATGTTAGAAATTAGTATAAAATGAGCTTTTAACCTAAAGTCTACCCTTCATACTGTACAAAAACAAAAACAAACAAAAAAAAAAAACCATCAGCTTTAGTTAGTGATGAGCATCAGTGCATGTGGAATGAAAGTATAATCAGAGTTGGACTGGGACCAAAAATAATTGATTTCTCATTAAATGTTCTAGAATTGCGCCGGTCAAGGTGGCTGCATGTTGGAGCAGCTCTGTTACTTTCATCTTGAGATTTTGCTTTTGGAAACTTTAATTCCTCTTTTTCTGGATGTAAATCACATTTGTTGGATGATTGTTTCAAATGGTATCGGATGCTGTGCAGCTGGAAGGATTTTTACTGAAGCTTTTTTAGTTTTGGACATTTGTTATGATGTGTAACCATGGCAACAACGCAGTTTTCTACAACCAACAGCAGCTGATTAACATCTCAAAAGCTCAAATAATATCTCAACTACAGCCCCAAGTCTCAAGTGAGTTGAAAAGGATGTTCTGTGGACACATTCTCATCTACCTGCCAGCTGTGCTCGAGTGCCTGACCACTGAGATCCTGGAACTAGAAGGAAACACGGCTCATGACAGTGGAAGGACAGGATCGTCCCTCGGCACCTACAGTTGGCTGTCCGCAGTGATGAGGAGCTCGGCAGACTGCTGGGAGGAGTGGCCATCACTCTGGGAGGAGTTCTGCCCGGCATTTGGGTGGTCCTACAGCCCAAGGGGAACCGAGAGGCCAGCCGAGTCTGGGTGGACGGATCGGACGGCATCTGCAGCCAGTTCCTTAGGATCCACTATGGGATGGACCTTTACAAGAGATCCTTCCTGTTTACAGCCATCAGTATCTATAACATCTCTTAATGAAATGAGGATAATGAGTTACAACAACAAATAATTTCCCACTGGGATTAATAAAGTATTTTTGAATTTGAATTATTATTTTTTTTAAATGTCAGTATGAGCTCCTCTGAATTTTGTTTTTATATTGTAAACAAAAATAACCCTCAAAACTACCTATGTTAACACTAAGGCTACCACATTGCCACTGCTTTAAACACTAAGTTTCAACATTGTTATTTCTATTGTTATTAAAAATAAATAAATAAATAAAACGTTAGGGTTACTTTAAAACACATGTCAAACTCAAGGGCAATGGGTCAAATCTGGTCCCCCAAGATGATAATTTAAATGTAAAATATTGTATCGCTTGTAATTTTTTTCTTCAAAATAAATAAATAAATAAATACATCATTTAGTATAGACTTCTCTTGCCAACTGGCTAACTTTGCAGCCAGAAAGATGGTTGGATCATTCTGTCATTATGATTCTGATGTGGAAAGAGCAACAGAACGTCCATTGAAACAGATCAAACTCTTGTTGTTGAATCTGCATCCAAGAAAAGATATCGGGTATCTGACTTGAGTTAATGTATCAGCTGAAAGTGGCTTGGACAAAGTTTTTAAATTTTGTCTCCTTTTGGTAACTGAGATCAACACCCCTACTTTCAAGGCTTTGTGTGTAAAAGTCTTTAGAAGTCGTGCAGTAAAAGAAATGGTAACTACACATAACTATTTCTGCACAAACATGAATTATAATTATCTGAACAGAAATGGGTCAGCTAAAAATGTATGAGGAAGAAGCAGACACTCCAACTGTGAAGTGAGATTGAACAGCTGAGGTGTGACACTTCTGTACATGCACCTCGTTACCGACTGAACCCCTGGAACTGGCGCTTCAGAATGTGTCCAGCTATAATGCGCTTCATTGATTAAATGTTCAAACTGAGTTATTTTCTACAATTCAAGTAATAACTCTTACCGTGAGCTCAGAGAACCACAGCAGATTCTCATGTATGGTGTTGACACACCAAGCCTGAGTCATGGCCAGCAGCCCTGCTAGAAGCAGCCCTGCTGCCATGGAAACACACTGTTGCCTGGGCCACCGCTGTAGAATGCATGACCCGGAAAAAGAACCGGATCGTCCAAGCAGAGAAAGTCCTCCTCCAACTCCCTCTTGTGTGGTATCAGACCCTGTTGGCACCATTACTGTGCCACTGTTGCATCCCCCATCAGCAGAGCCATCTGGTGAAACCCTCAAATTACTCTCTAGGTGACTCTGCCTAACTCTCTTACGAATCCTCATTTTTGGAGAAAACTCAGATTATCTATAAATTGTTTCCTTGAATCCTTTGATGGGCTCAATCCAGGTAGATTAACAGCATGCTCCTAGGTTAAGCAACAGAAGTTATCCAAATCCAATTCAGAAATAAATGCCAATGTGTTGTGTTCTTCTTTCCTTGAAGTCACTCCAAATAATTCATAAAAGCTTTGAAATCGCTTCAAGTTCCTTGCCAAAGGAAATATGCAAAAGCTATCACAGAGGGAATAAGCAGCCGGTTTTCTTCCAAATCCTCTTTTGAGATTGCCTGAAGCAAAATAATCCTTGGCTTTTCACCAAAAAATAAAAAATATGGATAATCCCCAGTTTATATTAAGGTCAGGCAGAAGAGGCCAAATGAACACGTTCAAATAGTACCCCTTAATTGGAAAGCTTGTTAACTTCTTCTTCAAAAAGAAAAGAAAGAAACATCAGTCCACTTTTCTTCATTTCTTTCTTTAGAATTTCCTTTTTTATGAATCTCTGAGTAACTCCATCAACTGATGTGGCACTTGAAGAGACCAAGAATGGATCCGTTCTGTCTGAAACCGCTCACTACTTCCTCAGCTTTATATCTTCCAAAGCATAAATAGATCAATAAATTATACTGCAGACGTAGATAAAAAAATTTTTTAAAAAAATAATGATTCTTGACAAATCAAGTCCGAAGTATGAAGAAAAAGTAAGTCAAAAGACTGAGCCACAAAAAGTGTGCAAACAGCAAGACAGACTGCAGATAACTGAAGCAGTCAGGAGAGGGAGAGAAAAGAGACTGGACTACTGGTGACCTTGTCTATAAAACACACATGCTTACAGGAAAATAGTAAGATGAGTTGGGGGTGGGAGAGCACCAAAGGGAACTTGTTGGAACATCGTTCGGAAAACGTGGGGAACATTTGTCAGGAAATTTGTGGCTCTGCAACTGCTGTAAAGATGTGAGCGAATGCTTGAAATAAACCCTCCGAGGCACCAGACATGGATATGAGCTCACACCCGGTGAATTTAAGGAGAAACAATGAGCCAGCTGGCTTTAAGCCTAATTCAACACTACTGGGGATAATGAGCATTGTCTAAAATTATCTCGAAAACACCATAGATAAGGGCTGTATGATTATTAAAACCAGTCCCTCTTCCTGTTAAACAGCAGCTTCCATGGACTACAAACGCACAGATAGCATTACTGGTTACACCAGGCAGTAACATGTTTCAAGGGCCGTGTGTGTCTTGAGAGAGAAAGTGAAAAAGTGGAAGTGTGTAAGGCACAGTGGAACTAATAAAACTGGAAACTAAATACATTCTGACTGCCTGAGAAGCAACAAGGAGGAAGCCAAAACCAGAAACCTAAGTAATTATTGTAAAGGGTGTACACAACATGTTCTTCAACTCAGTTCAGGAGCTGTTTTTTTTCTTCTCAGAAAAAAGTACAACCACAAATTAGTAAAACAGAAGAAAAAAAAAATAGAAAGGTGTGGAAAATACAAAACGGGTGGTGGATAGGTATGTGCAATATGACAAAATTCATATCACGATATGTATTGTGATGGGTGGGGGTAACGCTATATATCACGATATGTTTTTGGTGTAAAACTTGCAATAGGAATGGAAAAAAGCATAGGGTGTCCTTTTGCCATCATTTATTTTGAAAACTGCTATACCACAAAATAATCTCAATTAAGAAAATTCCACTACTAGGTCCAGAGAGTTTTTAAATAATTAACAAATCAAGTATTAGGCTTCTTTCTTGTAGTGCAAAACAGTGCAAAATATACCAAATGTAGTTTTAGCTATATGTTTTAAACAAAATAATATGTTGTTACCTCTTAACAGTTTCCAGTATTCTCACTTAAGAAATGAACAGCAACAGAGCAGCATTTTACATATAAAAAAGTGCACACTGAAAACACTTAACCCTCCAACCCTCTAGTGGGCGTTTCCTTCTGCTTTAAGAAGCGCTGACACAAAATGGCAACCAGTTTCCTCTGTGGCTTTGACCAGAGGTCTCGCAGTAAAACCACACAACACAGCGTTCTTTTCACAGGTCAGAGAGCAGGTTTAACCCTTTTTTTTTAGCACTCTCTAAAGCTGACCAACAAACTTCCGACGAAAAAACTTTTGACAGAACTCAGCGTTTTGCGCATGCGTACGAATA